TCTGCAGATTTTTGCCGTTATTATTGTCATATCATAAGGTACCCGAATGACAGTGCCAGCATCAGCTTACCATTGATAAATTGAGTTAAGAAAACTTGGTCTGCCATTGCGCACTCTGCCAGAAGTCCTTGGGAGACCCCTCCAAATATACCCTTCCGACACCCCTAACCTATCTCATCTAAGGACTTCCAGCAGAGTGGGCAGTGGCAGACCAAGTGTTTTAAACATAATTTGTCAAAGGTAAGGTGATGCAAGCACTTTTATTCGAGTTCCTTATGATATGACAATTTTAACTGATAAAATCTGCAGAAGTTATCGAATATTTTCATATTTAGGAGGATTGTGCACAGAACAGAGACCTTCTATCCAATTGACCTATACAAATCGAATCTCCTAATCATTACGAGCATTTCATACCAAGGCACCATCAAAATCAAACCAGTGGGGGAAAAGAGATAGGCCAGTTTTCATACACTTTACCTACAATTTCACACTTTTTGACAGGATTGTGTACAATACAGAGACCGTCCTCCTCACTGACCTATATGACTCAAAGCTCCTAGTTATGGAGAGCATTTCATATTAAGGCGCTATCAAAATCAAACCCGGGGGGAATAAGATATAGGCCAGTTTCCATAGACCAAACCTCCATTTCAAACTTTTTGACAGGATTGTGTTCAATACTGAAACCCTCCACCCAACTGTCCTATATGACTCGAAGCTCCTCATTATGGAGAGCATTTCGTATTCAGGCACCATTAAAATCAAACACGGGGGGAAAAAGATATAGGTCATTTTTCATACACTGGACCTACAACTTCAAATGTCTGAAACACTAGGATGCGGCAAGTTTAGGCCTGGCAGACCTTGTGATCTATTGTCAGAGTGATCTTGGCTATTATGTTGTGGTGGTCGCGTCGTGGTACCCGATGAGATAGTTTAGGGGTGTCGGAAGGGCATCTTTGGAGAGGTCTGGCAAGCACTTCCGGCAGGGTGTGCAGTGGCAGTCCAAGCTTTTTTTACATAATTTTTCAATGGTTAACTGATGCCAGCACTTTCATTGTGGTACCTTATGACATATTTTTTACGAAAAAATGACTCTGAAAAATATCGATTATTTTTATGTTTCGGCAGGATTGGCTCTGGCAGACCTGGGTCATACGACTTGTTTAAGTCTTGGTTAACGATCCAAACCTAGCCTATCGTGGTACCTTATGAGATAGCCACTTACCCCCTGGGCTCTCGAGCTAATATCGTGATAAATTGATCTTACATCACTTCGCTGTAACCATCTGTCAAAACAAGACTAAGTACAAGAAACTTATGGGTCATGTAACGAATTCATAAGGAGGACTATTATCTAGGCATTTGCAGCAGTGAAACGGTTTAGGTAAAATGCTTAAATACACAGCTTCCTTTCCAGTACAAGGGTAATGAAATAGTACCTAATAATTATTGCAAAGATTTCCGAGCAGAGATGCAATATCCCGATACTAAATTGTTAAATAAATAAATATCCCGATACTGCAATGCTATGGAAAATTTCGCACTCATTGTCAAAATTCGAGAAATAAACACACTTGAAATCCGACCCATACTAATTTTACATTTCTATTGAAGAATCCAATTGTAATGGAAAGATAATTTAAAAACCGAAAAACATTCTGAAGTATTTTTTTCTTCTTTGCAGTATCATAGCAAAAAGGCAATCTTTCAACATAACAGTTTGCACAAAACATAATGAATTATTGACTGCATTAATAGTAAGTTTGTTTATTAATGATGAAATGATGTTAATTAAAAAGACATCACGATTCAGTCAAATGACATTAACATTAACACTGTGTAGGTTTTTGCTGTCATTTGTCATCTAGTCTAACAACCTGAGTACCTATTTGATCTGGTAATCTAGTTACATGAATGAGAAAGTTAGATCAAGATTTACAGTCAGTCAAAGCTACTTACTTAGGATTCTGAGGGAAAAAACAAAGATTAGATACATAGTTTTTTATGAAATGATGCTGAAAGTTATGATTATTTACATACCATGCAATTGAAAAGCGGTAGCCCAGATGGAAGAGGCTTCGCGAGTTCATATCCTGCCTGTTTGCGGTAGAAAATTTTGCTAGATTTCTTAAAAATATCTATTGTGAACCAAGCAGAACCTGAATACGGAGCTGAGCTTCAAAACAGGGAATCTAAGTAAAGTAGTTATACTTAGATTTTCGCCCAGGTACAAGATACAAACAAACACTTAGAACATAAACAAGTACCTATCGAGAGATCAAATTACCCGCTACATTCTCCAGCTTCATATTTGTGTATACTGGATACTAATATGTTCCGCAATGGCATTACAAAGTAGCAGCGCGTATCGTTTCAGCGCGATGTCATCACGGCGTCGTGTAATTTGTGGACACGCATGCCTGAGTCTCGGTATTGGCGCTAGTGTAATGATATCGTGGATATTGCTTGTGCCATGTGTGTAGCAGCTAGAGGGTTTAGCTAGGCATATCATAAAGAGTCTGAGTGTTAAGTACTTGCTAGAAGTTTCAGTAATGTGCGATGTCATCACGGCGTCGTGTAATTTGTGGACACGCATGCCTGAGCCTCGGTATTGGCGCTAGCGTAATGATATCGTGGATATTGCTTGTGCCATGTGTGTTGTAGTGAGAGGGTTGAGCTAGGAATATCTCAAAGAGTCTGCTGTCTGAGTGTTAAGTACTGCATGAAGTTTCAGTAGGGTGCGATGTCATCATGGCGTCGTGCAATTTGTGGATACGCATGCCTGAGTCTCGGTATTGGCGCTAGTGTAATGATATGCTGGATATTGCTTGTGCCATGTGTGTTGCAGCGAGAGGGTTGAGCTAGGAATATCTCAAAGAGTCACAGCGCTAGAAGTTTCAGTAAGATGCGATGTCATCACGGCGTCGTGTAATTTGTGGACACGCATGCCTGAGACTCGGTATTGGCGCTAGTGTAATGATATCGTGGATATTGCTTGTGCCATGTGTGTAGCAGCTAGAGGGTTTAGCTAGGCATATTACAAAGATACTGTATTTGTTGCTAGAAGTTTTTGCGATGCGCGATGATATCATAGATATTGCTTTCACCATGTGTGTAGCAGTGAGTGTTGAGCTAGGAATGTCACATAGAGTCTGGATCGCAACTGCTAGTTTCAGCGCGATGTCATCACGGCGTCGTGTAATTTGTGGATACGCATGCCTGCGCCTCGGTCGGTATTGGCGCTAGTGTAATGATATCGTGGATATTGCTTGTGCCATGTGTGTAGCAGCGAGAGGGTTAAATTAGGCATATTACAAAGAGACTTGCTACTAGAAGTTTCAGCGAGACGCGTAGCAGTGAGTGTTGAGCTAGGAATATCACAAAGAGTCTGGATCGTAACTGCTAGCATCGGCACGATATCATTTTTCCAATATTCATCAGATTAGTTCAATATTTATTTTATGTGTGATTGCTAGTAAAGTGCTATTTTGTTGTAATGGTATGTTTATTACTTGGTTTTCCGTAATTTGTGTATCTAAGTACATTTTTAGGCTGTGACTTTTCCTTTTTTGCAACTTTACTGCAACATGGATATTGAATATAATGATGATATTGTCGTGGTATGCGTATGCTGCTAGAAACGTACGTCTATTTACACACTAACATGCTTCTTTATTAAACTGGTGCATTCTTTTTAAATTGCCTTTGCAATACTCACACCTCTTTTTCATGCAGTTTCGTTTGGTTTGTTTGTTTAAATTATTTTCAGTGTTATAGCAATCGTTGTAGGTAGTAGCTGGTAGTACTTTTAAGATGTCGGATTTGCTGGTCAAGAATGTAAAGTTCGAAGTCAGAACTTTTAGTTTGGGTACATAGTACCTACATTTCAATGACACGATGACCACTTTATAGACATCCGAAAAACCTCAGCCATTGCTAGAACTTATTAAAATTAGAACCGACTAAATCTAGATGGACCCAAAACAAATATTTTATATGCCTTCAAATAAAAAGGAAATATATTAAAAAAGAAACAATGTTTGATGGGCGGCGTTTAGATTTTTAAAACCTTTTGATGTTTATAAACGGCGGTACGGTAGTTAGATACCAATTAAATGAGAACAGAGGAAAAGAAGAGATATAAATTAATTTGAAGTAGGTAGTAGAAGAATAGGGCTGTCCTCTGTCGTTCAAACTTGAAATAATAATACCTCTTTTGCATTTGGGTGTAATGACAAGGCAACGCCATTTTAATATTTAAAATAGGTGATTGCAAATATTTACCATAAAAATTAAATACAAAATAGATAAGTTAGCAGATAACATAATAGGTTATGTGAACCTAGACTAGAGCAGATTATTTTGTTTGAATGAATGATGGGCAAGACAAGCCCAATAAGGTTGTACTTTAACCAAACAGCTATTAAATTTTAATGTAAAATTATTGTCCAAGAAGTTGGACTTCAACCAAACAGCATGCGGAATTCCATCCCGGTGTAAAATACTATCATCACATCGGAGTGATACCTTTGCTGTCAAACATGCCAGACGTCATGACATGATTAAAACTTCTATTGGTCACATAAAACAAGTACACGTACTTACTTATAGGTATATGTGACCAAGGTATGCTAATGAAAAAGAAATATAAGAAATCATTTCAGTTCTCGTGCACAGTGAAAATATGTTAAGGTAAATAAAAACTCTACTACACTAGGTACAACAGCCACAACAGTTGGCTGATGGACATGAATGAGCCTCCCCCAACTAGGGGGTATTTGCCATACCCACATCGCGCTTGGCAGGCGAAATGAAAACGTAGTGCAGGTTTACATGCTGCCCATTCCCTGCATTCATCTCTTAGTCGCCTAGAGACACATTTGTTAGTGATGAAATATGTTCTTGTAGGTAAACTACTGACTTACATATAAAAAAAAAAGTGGCTTGGAGACGAGGATCAAGAGATTGAAAATTTGGTAGGCAGCGATCGGTGTCGATCGATAGCTCAGTGGCAGAGCCCTGGGGCATTGACCCATGCGGCCCGGGTTCGAGCCCCGGTCGATGCGTGACATTTTTTAGTTACCTACTTATTTTCATTTATTTATAAGAGCAATATAGCACTGTGATTGCGTTGGAATCCCAATATTCTGACTTACATCTCACAACCCTAGCAACGAAGTCAAGAAGACCGGCCGGCTGGCGAAAATGTGTATCTCCATAATTTGAGAAGTTTAACTTGAACTCCGAGACCGTGAATTTGTAAAGCTTCTAATTCAAATTTTAAGTGAATTTTCCTCATTTTCTTTTCTTAGATATAAAATACGATCGTTTGCGAAAAATTTTGGCTTTACGAAAAACAAAGGATATTTAACTGATTCTGAGAAAAGATTTGATGTTAAATGTTTCAATCTTGTTGCTTCAAATGAGAAAGATTGAAAATGTTAATGAAAACAAAAATATTTCTATCACTGGCTTGATTTGAGCTTAAAGTTGGATCTTTGCTTTGTTCATCTAAATGATGATCAAATCAAAATTTTATGATGATTTCGAAATGTGACTGACACTTGCGACAAAAGGAACTTAAAAGGTATTACGGGCTATGGGATCAGTGGTAAATCTGAGGACGCCTTGCTAAACTAATATAGCGATTAAATCAGCTTAAATGCTGACTAATAAGTGAATAAGGAGTGACACTGTAATGTGTACAAGTGGCTTATCGTAGTGGACGAAATTCACAAGAGTTGTCGCAAGACACTCGTGAGACCGATGATGCCACGCAGATTCGCATTCATAGTTCATCTGGACTATACATTTCCTAATATAGCGGTTCGGCTTCGGTTAGGGTTTTCAACGCAACTGTTGAAAGTTAATTGTAGAGCGTCAATGACGTAAAAATCATGAATTTTTCAGGTGTTTTCGGGTAATATGAAATTGCGAACTGATAATTATTGTTCTGATTATAATCGTATTTCTTTTAAGTCAAATCAAATGTATAGTCCGCATCCCGCGCACGATCCGATGGCATTCAAAAGCGATGACAATATAATTATGACATGAAATGTGGTTGTTCTCAGATCGCACGCGGTCAGTAATTTTAGTTGAACTACACTTTACTCCCTATATCGATTTCTCTTTGGTTTCTTTACATGTTATTTCACGAAACAACTAAGTTCGATCCGATAAAGGTTGTGTAAGGTACCTACCTATTACAATACAAAAGATTAAGTGCTGATGGTGCGACGACCACGCCTAGACTTAGCGACTTACGAAACCTAACGGTCACGACAGAAAACAAGCGTATAAGGAATTTAGAGCCAATTTACAACAATTCCCTGTGAATTCTGAAAGGTATAAAAGCACAGCTAGGTGGTAGTGATAATTATTTACGTTCTTATAAGAAACACACCTACTGTGTAAGAGACAGCTCTCCGTAAGCACGCTATCAGTACCTATTTGGAAAGCTGTCCCTTACAACAAGACATTGCAAAAAACGTAGAATTATATACAAAAAATCATAAAAATTACTTGAAGAGTTTTCTGAGTAGGTAAATCAAAACATGAATCTCATTACGACACGATTTTTTCTTATGTATGTAATAGTAATATGTAGGTACTAACTGCTAACTAGTTTCCCCTTGAACAACTACACCCTGTCTTTTAGCAGACAAATTAGAAAAAACGCAATAAATTGTCTAGTAATCATTATTATTGCTAACAGAGAGATAGTACATAACGAAACTTGATGTAAGTATTTTAAGTATTGAACCGGGTCTATCGCGATAATTATTTAGGTAAACCTTTATAATTTACCTGTGTCCCGACGTTTCAACACAGTTTCATGTGTTGTGGTCGCGGGTTGACTAAATAATTATCGCGATAGACCCGGTTCAATACTTAAAATGTGTGGAAACAATCGCTAGTGCTTCAAAAGTTATATTGATGTAAGTAGGGTTTGTTCTCCTATTTGTAATTTTTATTTGGTCTTGACCGTGGCAATGTTATTTTCCAATTCTCTAAGCTTTTTTATTCTCGAATTCACGACCGTAATGATAATGAATAAATGGCCGTAACCTAACGACCATTTTCCTGTCACTTTCTCAATCAAGCAAAAGAAAAAAGACAGGAAATCTTTAACTCTCATTTGCTTTCTATAGGTAATTTTTAAGACTTTTACAGTACAGGACGAAAATCGTTAAGCTTTTATAAATGTGTCCGTAACAATGGGAAAGCTTACCTAATTTATAATTTTTTGCTGAGGAGAAAAACATGTTTTGCATTATGCATGAGTGGATAATGATTGATGGTGACAAAATGTCTGGCAGTTGGTGTACGTTCCGACCATTGGTTTACCTAACTGCAGTCAAAAAGAAAGAGTTCCATATTTTACCTTATTTTCATACGAATACGGTTTATGTCAAACGGTTTGACAGACGCATCTGTCGACGCAGAGTTTTCCGATGCCGCCGTTTGACATAAGCCGTATTTGTATAAAGATAGGGTGGAGAAACGAATGAATGACGCACAAGCGACGTAGCGTGAGTTTCTCGCCTTATGGTACCCTTACTTTCCAAGCGTCGCGACAACGACGCGCGTCAACGACGCCGTCAAATTTTGACGGCGTCGTTGTCGCTGCGGTCTTGTAGAAAAACCCGACCGCATCCCATACAAACCCTGAGCTTCTCAGCGCGCTGTCAACGTGACGGCGTCGTGGCGCGCCGCAACGACGCCGACGCTCGGTCTTTCTGGTTCCCCATACAAAACGCGCGTCGTTGTCGTTGTCGCTGTCGCTTGGTTTTTAAGCCTACCATTAGGTGTCTTCTTTAAATCAATGAAAGAAAATACTCTATTAGCGTAGACGGTCAATAAAAAAGGGTTTTCACGTATCAAAACCTACGTACGTTTTGTAATGTACCAGTCCAGACTGTCTAACAAAATTGATAAACGTAAGAAATCTCCACTTCGTAGTAGAGGCGATATTACGAAACAGTGAATAGTCTAACAAAGGTCGAAGATAACCGAGAGCAGCCATAAAGGTTAGGTTCGGGTTAGCCAGTGCAGACTGCAGAGCTAGCATTCGTTAGAGTCAACGCACATTTAGCGCTAATGGTGTATCTACGCCGTAACCGGTTGTAAATGAACTATATTGAAATTGAAATATATTCTTAACTAAAATAGCTTCTACACCAACAATTCCGCGACAATCAACGCATACTGGCTTTTACTGGACTGGAATTAACTTGAATCTCTAGAGGAACTCAGGGTGAACTCAGGTGGTTGCCACAAAGGGCATATTTCTTGCATTTCATCCTCGTATTGAATTTAGCTATATCATCATCATCATATCAGCCATAGGACGTCCACTGCTGAACATAGGCCTCCCCTAAATATTTCCACCTTGTACGATTAGAAGCGGCTTGCATCCAGCATTTTCCCGCGGACTTGACCAGATCGTCTGCCCATCTCGCGGGGAGACGTCCTACGCTGCGCCTGCCGGTACATGGTCTTCACGTAACAAATTACAATCGCATAAATCCTTAATTAGAGTCGAGTGATCCTTCTGTAAACTCTCTATTTTGTGGTTGTTAGCCGACCCTTGCGTGGTCGCGATGACATTTAGCAGTGAGAGGCGCACTGGTGGCGGTGCATGCTGTAATCCTCTGGCCCTTTCGACAGATGCACTATGCGTTTCACGATTGCAAGGGCCAGGCTAAAAGTTGTGTAAGGTAGAATAGATGTGACGTTATGTTTGATAGAATTTACATAAAAGAAAAATCAGCCCTGGACCTGGATGTTCAAACTGAAAAATGACATCAAAGATTTTCCACTCAAGTTGTCATATTATGTATTTTAAACAAAATGATTTATGATGTTCTTGTGTCTTTTATTAAACAAGGTATTAGGTACCTTATCGACAGATTTTCTTTCATCTTATCATTTCTGTGAATAAATCTAGCAATGAATATGGAATATACCTACTCAAAATTAGTATTGCATTAAATGCATATAGCTGCACAACGTTAATTCATAATGAAGCAAAAAATAGAACACGAGCCGTCTAACTGAAGGCGAGCTTGATCAAAACATACAAACAAAAAAAAACGCTTCATCAATTTGGTTCTTTCGTGACTCCATTGTCAGACTTTGCTGAGTTAACTTGTTAATTAAAAATGGCTGTTGTTGTTTAGAATTCGAGCCGAGGTGACAATCGATTGCTTTATGGTGATCGATGGGGCCTGTCTCCGCTGCAACTTCCCCACTTTGTCCCAGACAATGGCTTCCACACAATGACAAAACTTGCTTCGCTTACTTGTCTTTTTGTGCTGGATCTAGGTCAAAACCAATGAGCTTGCGTTGCGTCTTTAGTGCTTACAATGATGTAGGAGACTTCAGCACTTTCAATCACAGTCATTGTGAAAGTGTTTCGTCAGAGGATACAATGGTGTGAGGAAACTGCGGATAGTTCTAAAACGGAAAATATAAGTAGTTTAGTCGCGGGATTTTAGATTCTAGACAACTAGGCCACAATATGTTTTAAGTATGTCATATTTCAACAATCTGAAAAAGATAGATGTCTATTGTGCAGATTTGTGCAACGTGTACTAGAATTTGGATTTGCTAATTCTTTTCCACTATTTCATTTTCCTTACTCGGCACGCTAATACGAGTATTGACCATTGATATTGTGATTCCATACTCCACGAGTAAGCTCAGGTCATATTTAATATTATGTTACATTACACGGCAGCGGTCTTCAGGAATGTGCTTGATAGCAAGCCACACGTACTTACCTACCAATTGATGACGACGGTTGGTGATTTTAATACCTAAGGCTGGGTGTTCTTAAAAAGGAATACAGAACAGCAAACCATACGCCGCAGTGGTCTTCAAATTATGTGGAAGTCAAGAAAACAACCATAAACAGCCGAGGTTTATTTTCGGATGTTCCTGCCCGGTTTGCTGCCGCATGCCCATCCACAGGAAGATATAATTAATAGAACAACATTAAAAAATCGTTTAGTAAACCCATTTCAACGGAAACACTGAATTTATCATAATATTTGGGTAT